GTTACGGCAAAGTGGGCACTAGTTAATGTGTACAAGTTACGGGCTAGTAGGCACTAAAGGATGTGTACAAGTCACGGTCTTGTGGGCACCAAATGATCTGTACAGTCATGGGCTAGTGGTTACCAAAGGATCTATACCGTCATGGGCTAGTGGTTACCAAAGGATCTATACCGTCATGGGCTAGTGGTTACCAAAGGATCTATACCGTCATGGGCTAGTGGGCACCAAAGGATTTATACAATCATGGACTAGTGGGCACCAAAGGATTTATACAGTCATAGACTAGTGGGCACCAAAGGATCAAGACAGTCATGGGCTAGTGGGCACCAAAGGATCTATACCGTCATGGGCTAGTGGGCACCAAAGGATCTATACAGTCATGGGCTATTGGGCACCAAATGATCTATACAGTCATGGGCTATTGGGCACCAAATGATCTATACAGTCATGGGCTAGTGGGCACCAAAGGATCTATACAGTCATGGGCTAGTGGGCACCAAAGGATCTATACAGTCATGGGCTAGTGGGCACCAAACGATCTCTACAGTCATGGTCTAGTGGGCAGCAGATGATCTAACCAAACCGCGCTCTACCGGTGTTGTGGAATATGAGAGAACTGAAGTTGTTTTCAAACGCTGAAAACTTCAATGCATGCTTCAGTGCTGGTCGACATCACAATGGCTTTTATGCATGGAACAATGAGGCGTATTTTTTTAAAAACTAGATTACGTTGGCGTTAAAATAGGGGGAAGGGGTGGTGAGGGGTGGTGAGGGGTGGTGAGGGGTGGTGAGGATGGGTATGAGTGTGGAGGGGTGGGGGTGAGGCTAGTGTGGAGAGGTGGTGAGGATGTTGTTGTTGTTGGGGGGGGGGAGTGAGAATAGTGTGTAGGAGGGGTTAGGACAGTGAGGAGGGGGTTGAGGTGGCGGTGTGGTTGTGGGTTGGGGTCGGGTTGGTGAGGATTGCCTGGATGGGGGGGAGGATGGGTGGATCAGCTGAGCACGGGGTGAGTGGAGACTCCCAGGCTAAAGGTAAGACAGCGACTACATTGTTCTAGCTTTACAGATGGGGGTATGCGTTATACCAGTGTCAGATAATGCCACACTACAAGGAATCTTCTGAAAAAAAGGGGTGTTAGTGTCTTATTAGTAAACTAAATACTAACATAACTTGCTAATGTCAAACCAAACCACCTCCCTTAACACAAACACTAACTCGAGTCCTAACTTAGTCCTAAGTCGGATTTCTAACACTAACCCTGAACCTGATATTAAACTACCACGAACAACCCGACCCACCTATTTTCAGAAGAGTCTATTGTCGAACACTGGCGCACCGGCTTTATCCATGGTATCAAAATTACCTCTCCGACGCTGTATATCGCACTGGTAATGATACACTAACCATAACCCTTCCCTCTACCCTGGTTATATTCCTAACCCTAAACATTACAGCTATACCGACAGAAAAAACAACCGCTCGTTACAATATTGTATTTTTATGCCAGATACCATAAATACGTATCAAGTATCGCTTTATACGTTTTCTACAAGTTACTTATACCGTATAAATTTAGTCTCTTATATTATATATAAATGCATATATATATATATATATATATATATATATATATATATATATATATTCATATATATATATATTCATATATATATATATATATATATATATATATATATATATATATATATATATATATATATATATATTCATATATATATATATATATATATATATATATATATATATATATATATATATATATGTGTGTGTGTGTGTGCGTGTGTGTGCGTGTGTGTGTATATATAACAAATATTTGTGTGAAACCTTCTGCACATTCGTAATCAGATAACTATTGACGTAAAGATCCCCGTATGTGGGTTCAGTCTAACAACCTTTAGAACTGCCCACTCCTGGGTATTGTCCACGGTCGTGCGTCTGTGTACATGACTGGGTGTCTGTTTACTAAACGGAGGGGAGGGGGGATCAACTTGCAACTTGCTGGGGGGGGGGGGCAGTTTATTGTTTACACAGTCATCTGCTTGATCGTTGTTAATATGACGCTGATAAATTGGTTTTATTTTTTGGGGGGCGGAAAAGACGTGAATCGTTGAGATAATCAGGTAAGTCCCAGGTTCGAATCCATGTCAGAGGCGTATTCGGTTCTCTGCTGTGCATGAGGTATTCAGACCTGAGGCTATAGAAGGAAGACAGCGGCGTAGCTAACAATTCATTGTCATGTGGAATCAGGGGGTGGGGAGGGTCGATTTTGTTACCTTAATTATCAACAAAGTTGATCGAAGTTGTCAAGGAGGGGTAGGGAGTGCGTCTCAATGTTGTCACAATTTTAAAAAAAAGCACATTCATATATAAAGTAAGTTCCATTTTAAAAAAATGAAACTTTAAAACAAAAAAAAGTTGCAGCTGTAGACAATGTGACATAGAATTATTTTTAAAAAGTAATCAAACTTCCAGAACTCTCACTGAATCTTTTAAAACAGGAGGAGCAAACAATTTTGTTCATGAATTATATTATATAAGTAGCTATTGGATATATATATATATATATATATATATATATATATATATATATATATATATATATATATATATATATATATATATATATATATATATATATATATATATATATATATATATATATATATATATATATTGTTTTGTTTTTAAATTGGCTTTTGTTTTATTATTACAAAATGTATCAGCTTAATGTTAATAATCTAAATGTATCAAAGTTTAAAGTGATCACAGAATATAATTAAGTCACGGTTATATGGATGTGATCACATTATAACTTGGCAGATAATCAGTGTTTCTTCCAGGCATCTCTTCGGGAGAAATTCTACCCCCCCCCCCCCGTACGAAATGGAATGTATATACATAGCATATACTATTACAGTGTCCGCCCCCTCCCCCGAAAATATCAAGTGCCCCCGCCCCCGGAGAAAAAAGTCTGGAAGAAACGCTGCATATAATATATCCACTTTAACGCTATACATTTTTATTTTAATAAACAAAACTCTACTTGGGGTAGGACCCCCCCCCCCCCCTTTGGATTACGCCACGAGTTCTTGAATAATTTTTTTTTTTGTATTTCCCAGGTTCGAGCACCAAGTAAGAAATCTAACAAGAAACAACAGCTGTTTGTGTCACGGATAGGAGAGGGGGGGGGAGGCTTTGGGGAATAATAGGTGCAAATATCTTAAAAGGAACGGATAAATAGTGCTAGAAAAAAGAAATTCAAACAAAATATATGTTTAGAGTAAAGGTTCCAAAATTCTACTAGTTGTGGCCCCTTTTTATAACCGCCGAGTTATACAGATACTACTGAAAAAATGCATTATTAAACACTACAAACGTTGATACATTTTTTCATTTATTTATTGTACAAGTTGGCGACCCCACAGAGAACCCGATGCGACCCTATTTGGGGTTTAGCCCTATGGTTCGGGCAGTTTCTTCCAGGCATTTCTTCAGGGGGGCTTTGCCACCCCCCCCCCACCCCCGAAATTTTTTTACCGCTCCCCACCCCCCCCCCCCACCCCCGAACGAAATGAAATTTATATAATTTATATAGAAAATATATACTTTTAACAGTGTCCGCCCCCCCCCCCCCCCCCCGAAAAAAGTCTACCGCCCCCCCCCCCCGAAAATTTCAAGTGCCCCCCCCCCCCCCCCCCCGGAGAAAAAAGTCTGGAAGAAACACTGGGTTCGGGACGCCGTGGTTTAGAGAGTGAATTTAGTTTATACTTTATGTCTGCTATTTAATGAGTGCAAAAAGCTTGATGTGATGATGATAACGAGTAATCCACCTTTAAGAGGGTGAAGAAAAATAAAATTGTTTGGGTTAGTAAGTAAAGTGATGATCTATCTCGCTTGGTGTTTTCTAGATAATAGGTGCGAAAAGCTGAAGTGTAAAAGATAACTGGAGTTCGATGGTGTAAGAAAGCTTGAGTGATCTCTCCTGAACTTTCTCGCATATACTTATATCACACTACGGGGGATGGCAACTTATGAAATAGACATGATTTTTTATCAATTTTTTATTACTTAAAATTTTAAATAGAACACAAACTCGTAAAAAAAAATCAATCAGTGTATAATAGTGTAAAATATTATTACTTTATAAATTTATATGCGTTTTTTTTAGAAATAGCGTAAAGTAATACTTCCGGTCAACGGAAATTACGAAAAAATTAATAAAAGACAGAAAATTATATTTTATTCTTATATGGAAAATGTCGTCCATCTATCTGAAACTGTACTCATGTTATAGGCTTTTGAAAAACAAAAAGTAGAATAAGTTCCACTTCCGGTTAACAGAAATTGATGAAAAGTTGATACATAACTAAAATGTGATGTAATTTGATATGATACATATGTAAAATGTCATCAGCCTAGCTGTAATGGTACTTAAGTTTTCATGTTCACAGACACACATCCACACAGACACACGCACATCCACACATCCACACAGACACACAGACAGACACACACACACACACACTGGCAAAATTGCAAAACTATGTTTTTTCCGATTCAAGGAGGTGTAAATCTCGATTTCGATTTTTTTTTTGCACGGTGACAATACTTCCTTTATACTTCGTACACGAGAAAGTAAAAACAAACTCAAACAAGTATGCTGATTGTATAGGTTGGAGAGTAGAGTAGTAGTAAGTAGGTAAGTAAAGTTCCCTTTTTAAACCTGACGGTCTATGGGGAAAGTGAAGTAGAGTTCACTTGTTTCTGTGACCTAGTCATATGAAGTAAGCACTATGCCCAGCCGCCTTTACTTTCCCTAACATGAGTTAGGTACCCATCAGAGTTGGGTGGACTCAGGGACGGTCTACTGACTTGAACCCGGATTCGAACTCGTAGACTTACGGGTTAGCAGTCCAGCTCTCTACCGCTAGACCACTCCGTCCCACAAGAGACGGAGAGTAGAACGAGATTCTCTCAGAGATCAGATTCCAAAGAATACTTGTGACGCCACGGCTTGCTGTTTGGCTCCATCAGAGTTTCCCCTCGATGTCATTGAGATAGGTCTAGTTACCTGAGATTTCTCTTTTGTTTTGTTTTTTTGTGCACCAGGTATGTGGGGGAAACCAGTGGCGGAGTTAGGTCTACTGGCTGTAGGGAATCCAGCGGCGGAGTTAGGTCTACTGGCTGTAGGGAATCCAGTGGCGGAGTTAGGTATACTGGCTGTAGGGAATCCAGCGGCGGAGTTAGGTCTACTGGCTGTAGGGAATCCAGCGGCGGTGTTAGGTCTACTGGCTGTAGGGAATCCAGCGGCGGAGTTAGGTCTACTGGCTGTAGGGAATCCAGTGGCGGAGTTAGGTATACTGGCTGTAGGGAATCCAGCGGCGGAGTTAGGTCTACTGGCTGTAGGGAATCCAGCGGCGGTGTTAGGTCTACTGGCTGTGGGGAATTCAGTGGCAGAGTTAGGTCTACTTGCTGTAGGGAATTCAGTGGCGTAGTTAGGTCTACTGGCTGTAGGGAATCCAGTGGCGTAGTTAGGTCTACTGGCTGTAGGGAATCCAGTAGCGTAGTTAGGTCTACTGGCTGTAGGGAATCCAGCGGCGGAGTTAGGTCTACTGGCTGTAGGGAATCCAGTGGCGGAGTTAGGTCTACTGGCGCCCCCTCTACAAGAGCTGAAAGCTCGTTCCATTCATAGAGAATTGTTACGGCAGTATTAGCCAACTATCGCTTACTATCTCTGTAGATATAATCCTCAACCTTAGTCCTAACCGTATCCGCAAACCTTAAATGCAAACGTAAGCCTAAACTTACCCGTTAGAATTTAGAATGGGGTAAAGCTAATAGAACAGCATTTTTTTAAACCTTATTTTAAAAAAGCAGTTTATTTATTATGTAACACAAAAACACGTATCCGTTTTATTACGTAAAACAGCCGTTGTATTATGAAACACTAAATATACAGCCTACTTAGTATGTAACACTCTAAATATACAGCCGCTTTGTTATGTAACACACTAAATATACAGCCGCTTTGTTATGTAACACACTAAATATACAGCCGTTTTGTTATGTAACACAATAAATATACAGCCGCTTTGTTATGTAACACACTAAATATACAGCCGCTTTGTTATGTAACACACTAAATATATAGCCGTTTTGTTATGTAACACAATAAATATACAGCCGCTTTGTTATGTAACACACTAAATATACAGCCGTTTTGTTATGTAACACAATAAATATACAGCCGCTTTGTTATGTAACACAATAAATATACAGCTGTTTTGTTATGTAATACACTAAATATACAGCCGTTTTGTTATGTAACACACTAAATATACAGCCGTTTTGTTATGTAACACACTAAATATACAGCCGCTTTGTTATGTAACACACTAAATATACAGCCGTTTTGTTATGTAACACAATAAATATACAGCCGCTTTGTTATGTAACACAATAAATATACAGCCGTTTTGTTATGTAACACACTTAATATACAGCCGTTTTAAAATATGACCATGTGTTGTGAGAACACATAAGGTGTTGAGCTAGTCGAACATCATATTACATCTTACCCCAATGATTCTCAAGCTATGAACAAATTTGAGACCCCCTACATGTGCATTCATTTAAGCAATCCGATATAAATAGATGTGCAATGAACAAAAAATATAGGTCTAGTAATTTTATAATATCAATTATAATTGCAAATATGATTACAGTTCTCGCGACCATCATGTAAAATAAACCCCAGTGTGACGACTAAAATTTTGAGAACCGCTCCTTTAAAGATGAGAGCGAGTGAATAGCCTCGAAGCTTTTAGGGCCAACGCTATGTTTACGTAAGTAATAATTCAAGACGTACATGATACAGAAATGCTATGTTTCCACCGTCGGCTAACTTAGCATCAAGCAATAAAATATTTCCAATCGATCGCCCGAGCCCTAATGCATGTATTCGAAATGTTTAGCTACTACAGGCATTAACGATACTTAAGATTAACCCTTAGTTGTGGATAAAGGCTTAATGTTGTGTTCTGGGTTGAATTAAATGCTACCCTAAGGGGTCATCCGTAAATGACGTCACGCTTTTTTTGGTACGTTTTCTACCCCCCCCCCCTTTTCCGTCACACATCGTCGCAAAAAGCCAGATCCCCCCCCCCCCCCTTAAAATGTAGTCACACCTCAGCCTACGACCCCCCCCCCTTCAGAATTGCAGTTGAATTTTTCTTAAAACATCGATATTTTTCCAAAATCTTGTCTGAACTCTATCAACAGAGTATTTTAATCAATTTCTATTACAATTTATTAGAACAGTTTTCTAAAACGTGAAATAACGGCTAAAATACGTTTTCTAACAGTTTATTTTAAATGCGAAAGTATGACGTCACACCATCTGAACAGCCCCCCCCCCCCTTCCCCCCTCATCACACACCGTCACGACATTACGGACCCCTCGACCCTCCCCCCTTCGAGTCTGACGTCATATATGTACGACCCCTAACATGATGTTATGGCTAATCGAACTGTATATGTAAAACAGTGTAAGGGAATCGTTGTGTTAGGGACGTGTGTTTTTTTTCTACTCTCTGTGCTCTTTGGTGCCATGACAAGTTATGTACCCTGTGGTTGCTAGACAACCACCACGACAAGCCACGAAACAGGGGTACAAGTGCTAATCAATAGCGATGTTCTACTTCCAATGAAAGTAAACAGTCCAGGGTCTTGCAGGGTATATATATATATATATATATATATATATATATATATATATATATATATATATATATATATATATATGTGTGTGTGTGTGTGTGTATATATATAAATATTTATATATAGGCATCTCTCTCTCTCTCTCTCTCTCTCTCTCTCTCTCTCTCTCTCTCTCTCTCTCTCTATATATATATATATATATATATATATATATATATATATATATATATATATATATATATATATATTTATATTTATATACATGAAAACGTTGATGTAGATATAGACGTAGATGTGTATCTATATGAATATGTTGATGTTGTGTTGTTGCTGTTGTTTTTTATGTTATAGATTGCTGTTGCTTGATATTGATGCGGTTGTAGATGGCAGATATGTTTATATACGATTTATATATATATATATATATATATATATATATATATATATATATATATATATATATATATATATATATATATATATATATATATATATATATATATATATATATATATATATATATATATGTATATATGTATATATGTATATATGTATATATGTATATATATATATATATGTATATATATATATATATATATATATATATATATATATATATATATATATATATATATATATATATATATATATATATATATATATATATATATATATATATATATATATATATACTGTGTGTGTGTGTGTGTGTGCGTGTTTAGATTTCCATTTGTAAACAACTTTACAAACATGGTATGTTTAGACTCTCTTGACCCCCCATCCATTCCATATTTTCAGCAACTGATTAGGTTTGAAATGAAGTTGCTTTTCTTTAATGATAACTTAGATTTTTAGATCTTGTGTAAACTGGCTCATATTTATATCTATGTAACAGTTAAGCCTTCATTTTTGGCTTAAGTCCAAAAGGTAAACAAACATTTTCATTTATGTTATAGCTATCATCATCTTTTCGTTCCCACCCCCAAACCAATCATGTTATTTTTTTTTTACAAATATTATTTGTATATATTTGATTACTTATTTAATTACACTTAGAAAAGAGACTTACCTAAGCTTGTATTTGTAAAATAAAATCAACTTATTAATCTGTATATGGTCCTTAAAGATTCCGGATACTAGTACCCACCACACGAGAACTCATACAAGTAATTGCATCGCCAGGTACTCACTAACAACAACCTAGCTCCAAATTGTAATGGTGGAAACGCGTCCTGTCGAAGAGTTGCGCGAGAACTTCCCGCGAACCCCGCTTTTCCCGCGGCTGGTGGGGGAGGATCTAGCGGGTGTAGCCTACATCACAGCGCACTGGGTTATAATTAAATAATGAGGAGGGAAAGACAAGGTGCCTCTGAGTTGCAAAACTTGGAAATATGAAAACATTACATATGTGTGAAATACAGAATCACGCAACTTCATCATCATCGTCTTTTCCCGGTCGTTCTCAAGACACATGGGTAGGTGAAGTAGAGTTCATCTGTTTCAATCACCTATGAATACAAAGGATGGTGTAGTCAGCACTATGCCCTGCTGCCTTTGTTTCATGAGTCAGGTACCCAATAGAGCTGGGTGGACTCATAGACGTCCTACGGACTCGAGCCCGGGATACAAACTCGAGACTTTGGGGTTAGCAGTCTTAAGCTCTACTACCCCACCACGCCGCCCCCCTCCCCCCCCCCCCAACCACACCGTCTTTTTTGTGATATAGAGACGTTGAAATTCAAACAAATTGACGAGAAATTTACATAAAAATATACAGATATAAATATGTATGTTTACAATAACTTTTTACACGGTTATTTGTGATAGGAGTTTTCTATAACTTTCTTGACTGTTATCGTTATCATATGACATTATGTTACAAAAGTTATAACACTCCAATTTTCAACAATTTTATTTATTTATTTATTTATTCGCCTCAGACATGTTGTTTACATTTTATTTGCATTGCCTCTTTGTTCGCTTTAGTATTACAGTTTTCATCATCGGTTGTAAAGTAAAAAGTAAAGATTTCCACTTAAGTCTTAGCGATCCATTGAGCAGGTGAAGTAGAGTTCATGTTTCTTGACCTCGACATATGAAGGGTTAATGTGGTCAGCACTATGCCTAGGCGCCTTTACTTCCCATAACGTGAGTTAGGTACCCATCAGAACCGGGGACGTTCCACTGATTTGAACCCGGATTATCATCGGTTAATGACTGATAATTTACTATAGAAACACTTTTTTTCTGTCTTCTAGTTCTATCATGCATTCACATTGGTTTATTTATACATAATACTAACTTCTTATTTCACTTTTTTTTAATCCAACAGTCGAAATTATTAATGAACTGGCTATTTCATGTCATATGGAGAGTTAAGAGTGAGAGAGAAATATAGAAATGAATTTATTTAATTTTATTTTCGATTGGGGGGGGGGGTATGGCAGGGCTGATATAAATTTAGGAGAAGTATTTTGTCACGGCGAAGGCTAAATCTTAAATAAAAAGTTGTTTTTTTTCCACAAAACGTAATTTATAGCGTCAGTTTGCCTTCCTTCCGAGTTCGCTTTAGTATTAGCCTTCATTATCGGCTTATGACGACTGGTGCAGATTAACTATAGAAGACTTTCTGCCATGTCCGATTATTTGTTGAAAAACTATTTCTTTTTAGAGAAAACTGCAGTAACTAGCTTTTTTTCTTCTTTTTTTTTTCTTTTTTTTTTTAAGAGTTCGATCATTTATTTACTTCATTACAAAAGTATAATTTAAGTCCTCAGACAAGCAGGCGGTGCTCTATTAACAAAGGTAGGAGTTGGCTGTGTCACTTGCAGATGAGGGAGGTTGGCAAAGTCAAGAGCATGTGGTGCTCTAGGTGGTGCTCTAGGTGGTGCTCTAGGTGGTGCTCGTGTTTGTTTTCTGTACTAATATACAATCTAAATAAATGTGTTTCTCAGTTTCTTGTATATT